GGGGGGATTCTTAAATTTTTTTTTTTTTTTTCGTGTGGGGGATTTTGGTTTAGAGTGGTGGAAATTTTTAATTGGGGGTTTTTAAAACCAAAAAAACCATAACTTTAAATACAATTTAAAAATCCTTTTATTTTTGTTTTTTTATGGAAAACCACCAAATTATTTTTTGCCCTTAAAGGTTTTTTTTAAATTTGGAATTATTTTTTTTTACCAATCTTAACCTTTTTTCCTTAAATATTTTTTATTAAATTTGGGCATTAATTTATACCAAAGAGAAAATGAAATTTTACCCCCCCCCCCCTCATCCTTTAACCCCAATTTTACTTAAATTTAAAAAAGGGGGAAAAAAAAAAAAAAAAAAAAAACAAATGAAAAAAAAAGTTATTTTTAATTAAAATTTTACCTTTTTTTAAATTTAGTATTATTTTTTTCATTAAATAAATAAAATATATAATTATTATTAAATTGAGTGTTGTTGTATGTTTTTATTGTTTTTTATTTATCTAATAATTATTATTGCTTATTTATTAGTATTGCTTATTTATTATTTTTAACTTTTTTTATTTTTTTATTATTAAATATATGAGGGAAATTTAATAAAAAATTTTAATTTAAAAAAAAAATAAAATAAAATAAAAAAAAAAAAAAAAATAAAATTTTTTTTGGGAACCCAAAACAGCATTGTCTCTTTGTTATGTGAAAAAATCAAAATGATTTTGATTTCTTTCTCTCGCAAATGTGTCAAAAAACAAAAAAAAAAAAAATAAAAAAAAAAATAAAAAAGATTTTTTCAAACCTTCTCAAATTATTTTCTATTAAAATTTTAATTCTTTTTAATATTTGCATTGATTAAATGATATTTTTTCTTTCTTTTTCAAAATAATAATGAAAATAATAATAATAATAATAATAATAATAATTTTATTATATTAAAATAAAAATTTAAATATTTATTTATTGAATTTTTTTTAAAAAGAAAATTGCCAGTAAAAGAATCATCTTTTGCAATGGTGTTTTGGTAATGCTATTTGAAAAAGTAAAAAAAAAAATAAAAAAAGAAAAAAAAAAAAGATTGAATACAAATAAATGAAAAAACCCAGTTTAGGATTAATGTGTAATTATTTTTTTTATTTGTTGAAAAAAAATATCTTTTGTTGAATTATTATCACACAATAAAAAAATAATAATTTTAATTTTTTTTTCATTTTTTTTTAAAATTTTTTTTTTTTTTTTTTTAAAATTATTTCGAAATTTTGTTCAAATCTTAAATAATTTAATATAAAATTATAGTTTTATATTAAAGCGTTAAAAACTATAGCATACTTTAATAATTAATTTTGTGAAATTTATAAATTTATTATAAATCAACATTATTTAAAAAAAAACACAAACAAAAGTATTTATTATTTTAAAATAAAACAAAATTTAAATTAAAATATGTCATATCTTTTAACACATTTACCAAATGGATGGGCAGTTGACCAAGCTATTGTTACTGAGGAGGATCGTGTTGTAGTTATTAGATTTGGTCATGATTATGATCCAGATTGTATGAGACAGGATGAAGTTTTAGCTTCAATAGCAGAAAAAGTAAAGAATATGGCAGTTATTTATGTTGTAAGTATTTTATAATATACACATAATAAAAACAACAACATCAACAAAAATAATATCTAAGTTTTTATAATAACCAAAAATACTATAAATTATTATAATTTTTCTAATGTTTTTTTTTGTTTTATTTTTTTTATATAGGTGGATATTACCGATGTACCAGATTTCAACAAAATGTATGAACTGTATGATAATTGCACCACAATGTTTTTCTACAGAAACAAACATATTATGATAGATTTGGGTACTGGTAATAATAATAAAAGTAAGTAAAAAAATAAATTAAAATTAAAATAAATTTAATTAAATTTACCAGTCAGTATTAATTTTTTCATTATAATATTTTAGTTAATTGGCCTTTAACAAGCAAGCAGGATATGATTGATATTATAGAAACAGTTTATAGAGGCGCAAGAAAGGGTAAAGGTCTTGTTAATTCACCAAGAGATTTCTCTACTAAATATAAATATTAAAGAAAAAACAACAACAATAATATATATACACACAATATATTTATATTTATGAATATAAATCTAATAAAATTAATAAATTGTAAATAATAATAAAAACAAATAAAGTTTGTTTTGTTTTTTTTTTTTTTTAAATAATAATTTAATTTTATTTAAATTTATTCATTATGCTCTTCTTCGTCCATATCTTTTAATTTTATAAATTTTTCTTTTTCTAAAATTGAACCACCCTTTTTCTTATTCTTTTTCTTTCTGATAACAACAATAATTATTATAGTGATGAGAACCAAAGCAGATACACCCGGTATAATACTTGCTAAAAGTATTTTTTTTAATTTGTCGCTTGGTTTAAATCTTCCACGGTCATTATAGTGTGAAAGTTCTAATGGATACACTGAAAAATCGTACATATATATACTATTTAATACATCTTTATATATTTCACTGTTATTTTGATGAACATATTCATTATTATAAATTAAATTGTTGTAGATTGAATTATTAACTTGAATTTTTTGAAGATTATTATTTTGCTTTTCATGAATTTTCATTAAATATGATTTAATTTCCAATGGATTGATTGTTATATTATTGTCATCGTCATTATTGTTTTGATTATATTGTTGATATTTATTATAATTATATTCTGATTGACCTGATTTTATTTTAAATTTCTTATCAATTTTATAGTTTTCTAAAATAAAATAAAAAAAGTGTGAGAAATTAATAATTAATAAATTAAAAAAAAAATTAATAATTAATAAATTAATAAACTTACCTTTAATTTTATCGTCACTTATATCACTTTTAACTATATCTAAAAATGTTAAACCTGTTTCTTTTAGGTTGTTAAAGTTTTTGAAATAGTTGTTTAATGATAGTTTGTTTTTGGTTTCGAAATTATCATTGCCTAAATTTAATAATCTTAAACCCATGTTATTATTTGAAAAGGTTTTCAATGATAATAAATGAATATGATTTGGTAGTGACTTGATTAGACCAGAGTATGATTGTTTATATTCCTTTTGATATTGCTTTATATTTGAAATCTTTTTAATTAAATATATTGGTTGGTGATCTATTTTTAAAGATAATTGTTTTTCATTTTCTTTTTGATTTTCGATTGAATCTAAATTAAAGTATAGCTTGCCGTCAATTCTGGATGTGTCGATAGTAGGCCATCTAACGCCTTTCCAATCATCTCTTTCAATTGTTCTGTGTAGCATAATTTCGATTTTATTTTCTGGACGTAATGTTATACCAACTGAACGATCAACATAGACTGTAAATTGCTTATTAGCATCATTATTTTTCAAATATACATAGTGGAGGGTTGGGTAATAGTTTGAAGTTGTTGAGCCAAATCTATTATGAGTTCTTTTTCTTGGTTCCAAACCATTGTCGGTATATATTGCTTTATTATCTTTTATTGAGTCGATAGTATAGTGAATAACTCTTTCTCTATTCATTTCACCAATAAATGAATAACTGGTTTCCAAGTACTGTTCAGTGAATAATGGTGTTGCACTGTCTTTATTCTTATAAATTCTTTGGTTTACAATTGATAAAGCCGAGCAGTTATCTGAATTGTAAATCATTGATAGTTGTGATACTAATGGGCCATCAAATAATAAATAATAGTCTGGATAATTTAAAGTATCTTCAAGTTTACCAGCTTCAAAAATATATGGACCACTTTTCTTTGCTTTATATTGTTGGAAATCTTGAGTAATCCAATCCTTCTTTTTTGTTTGCAAATCTTTGACAGATTTTAATAAACCATCTCTTTTTGAAAATTCATATTCATATTCTTTAGTTGAAAATCTAATGTCTCCTTTTAGTCTATGATAATTTGTGCCATAATAAATTTGATTTAAATTTGATTTGTTTGAATCAACAGTTATATAATATGTTGAAAAACCAAGTGGTGGTACACTAATGATTGAAAATAAAATATATTGATCCATTTCATTAAAGCATTGATTATCATATTGAATCGAATTGATTTGAATATTTTGAATTTCATTTAAATCTGAATCGAATAGTTTTAATCTTTCGATATTTACTTTACTGTTTGATTTAATTCTAAATGAATAGTGTTGGTTAATTTCCCAACCTAAAGAGTTAAAAAGTTTGATTGAATAAAATTGATTATTTGATAAGCTGTCAATATCGATAAAATTATTATATAAGTAATAGTTTTCATTATCTTGATTATTATTGTCATTGTTATTATTACCATCATTATTATTATTATTTAAAAATAAGTTGTATAAATTTGAAATTATTTTAAAATTTAATAATCTTGAGTTTTTTAGTTTTAAATAATAGTCATATAAAACATATGATCTTGAAGTACCTGTTACAATATCGTGGTGTTGAGCTAATGAAAGTAAATCCCTTGCACCCGTTATATCATTTGAAATTTGATCGTTTTGATTATATTTGTTATCAAGCATTAATAAACTATAAATTGATTCAGTAAATCTTAAAAGTTTGCTAAATTCTCTAATTTGCTTTTTCATTGTTGGTCTTGTGGTAAAATATCCAGTCCAATATTCATCATAGTCTGTTGCATATGGGAAGAAGTCTTTATCAATTTCTGTTAATTGTAATTTTTCATTTAATATCTCTGATTTTAATTGTTTAAAATAATCCGAAACAGTTCCGTATCTAATTTCCTTTATACCATATTCTTCTTTTCTTTCTCTAATATAGTCCATCCATCCCCTAGAGTATCTGAATTCTTTTGGCGCGTTAAAGTATCTAAAGTCATCACCACTAATATAAAGTACAGTCTTTGTATTTCTAGTTTTTACAACTTTTGAAAAATATTCAATAAAACTATTGGCTCTTTCTTCCACGGTATAGTTGTTTCTGGGATCTAAAACCTTTGGAAAATAGTCATAGTGTCTATCTAAAGCTGATACCAACATTTCCGAGTCTTTGTTTAACGTTTCAGAACCTTTCCATAAAAATTCCATTTCTAAATTCTCTTTCATATAGTCCTTTACATCATATGCAATTCTATTGATAATTAAACCTTTTAAACCCATCTTTGAAAATAGTGTTGGTGTGATTGAGCTGTAGCCAAATGGATCTATTTGCCATGCATATTCGACTGTATAGTTCAAATGTTCTTTTAACCATAAATGGCCCTGGGTCATTTGCTCGATAATGTCATCTAAATCTGCGGAAGCTTCATCGTTTTGAACATAACCACCAGTAACAAAATCTAATTGCCCATTGTTTATTAGTTTCTTTACAAGTTCTTTTGTGCTATCTGATGATGATTCATACCATCTTCTAAAAAAACCAACCTCTGCCCAATTAAATGTTTTTTTCTCGTCATTCTTTAATTCATTAATAAAACTTGATATAATATATTTTACTGTGCCATGGTAATATTCCTAAAGTTATTTGTTTAGTTAGTGTATATATCTATATATAATAGTATACAATATAGTTTATCTATTACTTACATCTAACGAACTTAACCAACCATGGTCACAATGTGAGTGAGGTAATACATAAATGGTATACCCATCATCATTAGAGCCGTCAAAATCTTGAATTTTGCTTATTTCTTTTAATAATTTTTTATTTTTACCACTGTTTTCATGATTGTTATTTGTTATAAAGTTTTTATAATAGTAAAAATTAAAACACAAAAAAAAAAAAACAAACAATATTATAAAATTTTTTATTTTCATTTTTATTTTTTTTTTTTAATTTGTGTTGTTTGTTTAAACAAAACAATTTAAAAAAAAATAAATAAAAGATTAAATATTTATATTGTTGTTTAATTATAAAAAAAATAAAATAAAATAAAATAAAATAAAATAAAAAAAAATAAAAAATATATTTATTAACGTAAAGAGGAAAAAAAATAAAATTTTTTTTTTTCATTAAACTTGTTTATAACATTAAAAAGATTAAGAAATTTTATTTATTTTTTTTTAAAAAAATTTTATTTTTTTTTAATTTTTTTTTAATTTTTTTTTTTACCAAAATAAAATTTTACTTTAATTTTATTTCAATAACCAAAATAAAAAAAAAAAAATTATTATAATAAACTATATTTGTTTATTTAAATTTATATTTTGATTCGATATCGTCGATCAGGGGGTTTAATAAAGTTATTTCTTTTAAATTTTTGAAATTTTTTCTTTTAAAGAAAATGAAAAGTGTGGTTATAATTGAAATTGAAGCGACCACACTTAAAATAATTACAATAATTAATAATAAATTTAATTCCTCTGGGAAGTCACCAATATCTTGATAATAAACTAGTTCTAATGGATATACTGAAAAGTCATTATAGGTATAAATGTAGTTGATGTCATTATTTTCTAATTTAATTGGGTTGATTGGACCAGCACTTGAATGAATAAGTTGGTTATCAGAGCTCTTATAAATATTATTACTATAATTAATTTGATCTTGGTTGGTGGCAGTAATTTTCATTATATATGATTTAATTTCTAATGGGTTAATTGTAATAATATTATTTTCTAATTGATTATTATTATTATTTTGTTGATTTAAATTATAATTATATTCTGAATGTCCCGAATAAACTGGGAATTTTTTATTAATTTTATAATTATCTAAAAAAAAAAAAAAAAAAAAAAAAAATTAATATATTACCAAGAACAGTATAATTAATAAATTTAAAACTTACCTTTAATTTTAATATCACTTTTATCACTTTTAACTATATCTAAAAATGTTAAGCCTGTTTCTTTTAGGTTGTTAAAGTTTTTGAAATAGTTGTTTAATGATAGTTTGTTTTTGGTTTCAAAATTATCATTGCCTAAATTTAATAATCTTAAACCCATGTTATTGTTTGAAAAGGTTTTCAATGATAATAAATGAATATGATTTGGTAGCGACTTGATTAGACCAGAGTATGATTGTTTGTATTCCTTTTGATAGTGTTTTATATTTGAAATCTTTTTAATTAAATATATTGGTTGGTGATCTATTTTTAAAGATAATTGTTTTTCGTTTTCTTTTTGATTTTCGATTGAATCTAAATTAAAGTATAGCTTGCCGTCAATTCTAGCAGTATCAAGGGAGGGAAAACTTACACCTTTACCATCGTCACGGTCCATGGTTCTGTGTAGCATAATTTCGAGTTTGTTATCTGGACGTAATGTTGCACCAACTGAACGATCAACATAGACTGTAAATTGTTGTTTTGAAGTTTTATCTTTGACATCTACATAGTGAAGGACTGGGTAATAGTTTGATGTTATGTTACCTGGACGAACAATTCTTTTTCTTGGTTCTAAACCATTATCAGTATAAAATACATTATTGTCTTTATTTGAATCGATAGCATAGTGAATAACTTTTTCTCTATTCATTTCACCAATAAATGAATAACTGGTTTCCAAGTACTGTTCAGTGAATAATGGTGTTGCACTGTCTTTATTCTTATAAATTCTTTGGTTTACAATTGATAAAGCTGAACAGTTATCTGAATTGTAAATCATTGATAGTTGTGATACTAATGGGCCATCGAATAATAAATAATAGTCTGGATTATCTAAAGTATCTTCAAGTTTGCTATCTTCAAAAAGATATGGACCACTTCTATATCTTCCTGGAGGTGTCATATATTGTTGAAAATCTTGTTTAATATTCACTTGTTGTTTTGTTTTTGAATTCTTTATAGACTGGAATAAACCATTGTCTTTTGAAAATTCATATTCATATTCTTTAGTTGAAAATAATACATTTGAATTTAATTTATCTTGTTTTTTGCCATTATAAATTTGATTTAAATTTGATTTACTTGAATCAACAGTTATATAATATGTCGAAAAACCAAGTGGTGGTACACTAATGGTTGAAAACAAAATATATTGATTCATTTCATTAAAGCATTGATTGTCATATTGAATCGAATTGATTTGAATATTTTGAATTTCATTTAAATCTGAATCGAATAATTTTAATCTTTCGATATTTTCTTTACTGTTTGATTTAATTCTAAATGAATAGTGTTGGTTAATTTCCCAACCTAATGAGTTAAAAAGTTTAATTGAATAAAATTGATTACTTGATAAGCTGTCAACATCAATAAAATTATTATATAAATAATTTTCATCTTGATTATTATTTTCATTGTTGTTATTATCTTCATTATTATTGCTTAAAAATTGGTTTAAGTAATTTGAAATTATATTTAAATTTAAAAATCTTGAATTTCTTAATTGTAAAAATGCATCATACAAAACATATGATCTTGAAGTACCTGTTACAATATCGTGGTGTTGAGCAAATGATATTATATTTCTGCTGAGATCCAAGTCTTTTTTGGCCTGCTTATTTTGATCATTTTTCTTATCGATGGTGAATAAACTATAAATCGATTCTGTGATTCTTAATAAACTACTAACATCTCTAATTTGCTTCTTTAATCCTGGTCTTGTAGTATAATAGCCAGTCCAATATTGATCCTCTTTGGTTAAATATGGGAAGAAGTCTTTATCAATTTCTGTAAATTGTAATTTTCCATTTAAAGCATCTAATTTTAATTTGTTAAAATATTCTGAAAGAGTTACATATTTAATTTCCTTTATACCATATTCTTCTTTTCTTTCTCTAATATAATCCATCCATTCTTTAGAGTATTTGAATTCTCTTTTTGAATCAAAGTATCTAAAATCATCGCCTAATAAAAAAATAAAAAAAAGGTTATTATTATATTATAATTTTTTTAAAAAAAATAGTTGAGTATTTACCAGCTGGGATGAGAATAGTCTTTGTATTTCTTGTTTTGGTTAAAATTCTTAAATAATCCATAAAGCCCTCAACTCTATTCCTAACAGAGAGTTTGTTTTTTGGGTGGATGCTGTCATGGTAGTCATAATGAATATCTAAAGCTGATACCAACATTTCAGAGTCTCTATTTAAAGTTTCAGAACCTTTCCATAAAAATTCCATTTCTAAATTCTCTTTCATATAATCTTTTACATTTCTTGCGACTCTATTAATAACTAAACCCTTGAAACCCATCTTTGAATATAATGTTGGTGTTAATGAACTGTAACCAAATGGATCAACTTCCCAAGCATATTCAACTGTATAGTTTAAATGTTCTTTTAACCATAGGTGACCTTGAGTTACTTGCTCGATAACATCATCCATATTTGCAACTGCTTCATCGTTTTGTACCCATCCGCCAGTTACAAATTCTAGTTGCCCATTACTAATTAATTTTTTAACTGCATCTTTATTACTCTGTGTTTGTGATTCGTACCAAATACTAAAAAATCCAATCTCTGCCCAATTAAATTTTTTATTTAAATCTCCTTTTAATTCTTCAATTGCTGTTGATATAATATATTGTACTTGTTCGTCATAGTACTCCTATAAAAAAAAAATATAAAATTTTATAAAAAGTGTGTGTGTTAGTTTTTAAAATATAAAAATAAAAAAATAAAAAAATAAAAAAATTTAAAAATAAAAAAAACAGTGATGGTACCTTATAAGATTTTAACCAACCACCATCACAATGAGAGTGAGGGAGTACATAAATTGTATAGCCTTCTTCGTTTGGTTGAACTAAAGATGTAATTTTACTTGAACCAATGAATTTAAAATTTAAATTTAATATATATAAACTAAAAAACAAAAAAATAAAACAAAACAAATAAATATATTCCTTTTTTTTTGATCTTTTTTGAAAGTTTATATCCATTTTTTTTTAAATTTTATTGTTATGAAATAAAAACATTAAATATTTAATGTTGAAAAAATGAGAAAAAAAAATATAAAAAAAAAAAAAAAAAATATTTTAAAAAAAAAAAAATATCTTAATTAAAAATATTTAAATAAAACCAATTATTCAATTATATTTATTTAAATATAATATAAAAACCAATTATTCATTACCCATTTTTTTTTAATTAAATTTATTTTATTTAATTAAATTTGTGGATAGAGTAATTTCACAGTTATCTTTAAATAACTTGGACATTGGACAATTCTTTTTAGCAATTTCAGCATATTCTTTAAATTTCTTTTCATCAAGGTTTGGAATTTTTCCAGAACAATTAAGATGGATACTAGAAACTGAAAAGCCTGTTGGGTTTTTTGAAAGTGTAAGGGTTCCTTTGGTATCGATTTCCTTTGCTGAAATATTGTGGGCACTTAATACACCAGCCAATGTCATAGTGAAGCATGAAGAATGGGCAGCGGCAACAAGTTCTTCTGGGTTAGTTTTATCTTCTTCATCTTTGTACTCTGTAGATTTATTAGAGCGTGCTAACGATGGAACACCAAATTCTAGACCTAAAAAAATGAATAGTTCATTAATAAAATTATAAACTTTTTTTTTTAAATAAAAAATAAAACAAACTTACCTTTTTTAAATGCACTACTACTACACGAGGTGGTCATGCCTGTACCATTTAAAAATCCTCCTCTCCATACAGAATTAGCTATATATTTTTTACTCATTTTTGATTTTGTAATTAATAATAATATAAAAAAAAAAAAAAAAAAAAAAAAAAAATAAATAAAATAAAATAAATTAAAAGAAAAAAAAAAAAAAAAAAAAATTAAATTAAAAATAAATCAATTAAAAATTGTATATATATATTAGAATATTCCTCACACCCACACCCACAAGTTCACACATAATGTGAAAAAAAAAATTAAAAAAAAAATTCTGTAAACAATTAATAAAATCAAAATTTTTTTTTTTAAAGTTAAAATCAAATAATTATTAGATAAAAATTGGGAGAGTTTCAAAGATAGTGAACAATATATAGAATTGAATAACATCCATAATCACCTCACTGTCCCAGATACTAATATAATTGAAAACTTTGGTCAAATGATAAGGTAGGGATAATATTCATTTAATTCTAAAATGCATATGAATACATTAGAATCACCCGGAAGAAAAAGTTTTATAAAACGATGTCGAGTGTGAGGATCGAACTCACGACCTTAGGATTATGAGACCTACGCTCGTACCAACTGAGCTAACCCGACAGGGATAAAAACTTTTGTTTTTTTTTCTTTTTGGAGATTTTTTTAAAAGCTAATCCGACATTTTGATTTCAAACAGAAAAAAGCACTCCTCCCGTAACTCACTTTTTATAATATAAGATTTAAAGAAATTAAATGGCAATCACACACTCGGGGTTGTTTTAATAGAGTCTTGATTGTTTCAATTTAAAAGTTTTTATATTTCAGAACTTCTTAGTTACCTAAACCAAACCAAAAAAATTAAAAAAAAGTTTATGTTATTTATTTATAAATAAATTTTCCTTAAAGGGGAAGTAGATTTTTTTTTTAATTTTATTATTTTTTTTATTTTAGATTTATCTCTAATATTTATTTTAAATTTTATTTTAATTACATATTTATATAAATATATATTAGTTATATTAAATACTTCCCTGAAAAAAGTAATCGTCTCTTTGTATAATTTGTATCAGCTATAAGGTTACAAGTGGGGCCCAGGTTGAAACCTATATAGGTTAATCAAAAATTATTATTATTTAATTATTTATTTTCTTGTTTATAATAAAATTTATTATATTTTTATTTTTTTATTTATTTTCTAAATTTAAACATTGAACATATTCCCATATTATATATATTATATATATATTTTATATATATATATTATAATATAATAGTGTAATAATAAAATGATATTAATTTAATTTTTTTTATTTTTATTTTATTAAAATTTTTAAAAAATTTTTTTTTATTTTTTTATTTTTTTCCCAGCATACAAAATATAAAAAAAAGAAATTTTTTTGAAATGTAATACAGATACAGATAATGAAAATAATAGAATAAATGAAATTAATAGAGATAATAAAAAAAGAAATAATGATAAATTATTTTTTTTAAAATAGAGGAACAAGTGTCTTTTAAATGAAATACAAAGACATCACAGGTTAATATTTATAAAAAAAAAACTAAAAAAAAAAGTAAAAATTATAAAAAAAAAGGAATAATAATAGGTTAACAAATTATTTATTTTATTATTTGTATTTAGGGGTGGTTCTTAGTTTTTTTCATATATTTTTTCTTAATATTTTTTTTTTTAAAATAGTATAAAAAGATGGATAAAATGAATTGTTTATTTATCATTTTAATAAAATATAAATACAAAACACCTTAAATCAATTATAAATAATAATAATATAATAACCAAAATGCCATTATCATTAACCTCAAGAAAATCATTAAAAGATAACGAAGAAGCCTCAAAACTCATTTAGCTACCATTGAAAATATCGATACTAAAGTCAGTAAGAACGAAATGGTCAAAGAAGCCTTCTTAGCCGCTGTTCCAAATAAGAAAATTGTTTTTGTTGCCGCTGATGAAAAATTACCATCATACTGGCAATACTCATTCACTGATGGTAACTGTGTCATCTCATTCATACAGATCTGTAACACTAATGATGTATTCACTGCTAAGTTAGAAACTCTTCTTCCTTCACAAGGCACCTACTTTTTAATGACCCGTTTAAATATTAAAGAAAATCAAGCTAAAATGGATGCTAATTTAGAAGCTGTTAAAAAAGCAATAAAATCCGATGCCGATTGGACCATCGATCAAGCATCATTAGAAACCGTTTACCCACATGTTGCTACCGATTTAAAAAATAGTTTTGGTCATATTTTTGCAGGTGTTATCGAAAAAGTTGCAGCCAATCTTGCTAAACGTTGTGCTGATGAAATGGTATTAGAAGCTGTACAAGAAGCCACCTCAAATCGTACTATTATTATTAAACACAATGCCACACAAAATGGATACTGGTTATGGTCATTCGAAAACGGTAATTTAGTTATTTCATTCAAATCCATTACCAATACCAACGATGTTCAAACTTTCAATTTCATTAAATTATTATAATTTATAACTTTATAAATAAACTATTTAATAATAATAATTTTATCAATAATCTATTAGAAAAATTATTAATCTCTTCTGGCATATTCATGGTTATTAAAATTTCTTTATTATTATATTTTGGTGATGAAAGAAAAAAATAAATAAAAATATTATAAAAATAAAAAAAAAAAAAAATAGAATATATTTATTTACTTCAAATCAAAAAATAAATGTTGAAAAGAGGTGATTATTTCTTTGATGAAGTTGACTTTTTTTAATTTCATCATTTTATTAATAATTTGATGCTTTTTCTTTAGATTTTTTAGCAAATAAATAATTTTACTTTTTTTATAAAACACCAAATCTATTTTATAAAAAAAAAATTAAAATGGTAATATAATTTATTATAATAACTTTAATAGTAGTAAGGAATCTTTTCATATAATTTAAAAACTGTTATTAAATAATTTTTTTTATTATAATAATCAACCACACTTTTTAACCCACTGTTTAATTTTTTAAAAAAATTTCAATGCTTCATGTCATGTCAATGATTTTTTAAATTTCATTTTTTTTTGTGGTAGAGCTTTAAATTTTAATTTTTTTAATTTTTTTTTAATTTGCTTTTTTCTTTTTTAGTATTTTATAGGGGTTCGAAAATAGGTTATTTTTAGAAAAACAGGGTTTTTTAGTTTTGGGTCTAATAGGCCCTTTTTATAGTCAATTGCATAGTTCCAGGTTATTTTTTTTTTTTTTTAGTTATTTATAGTAAAAAAAAAATTAGAAATAGTTAATAATTTAAAAGGTGTTTAAAAATCAATAAAAAAACCGTTAAATCATTATCAATTAAAATATCTCCTTTTTTTTTTTTAAAAAAAATATTTTTCAAATTTTTTTTAAATTTTTTTTGTAATAATAAAAATAATATCTTTATTGTTATATTAATATACATTAAAATTGTAAAGCGGATTTTTAAAAATATTTTATTACAAAACAGCAGTTGATAATTAATAAAAAAAAAATTTCTATAAAAACTTCTACATTTATCGATATCAAAATTTATTAATATATATAAAAATATAAGAAATAAATAATTACATTAATAAATAACTACATTAATAAATAATTACATTAATAAATAATAAATATATAAAATC